TTTTTTTGTTGTTGTTTTTATATATAGTGGTTTAATGAGCAGTAGGTTGTTCCTCATCCAGTTGCCTGTGAGCTATGTTTACTGCCAGAGGGAAAAACAACAACAACAACATTTGTTCAGGGCTTATAGCAAATTCCAGAGTATCAAAGAATATTATGGTGAATTACTTTTGTTTATGTTTGTGGAGCTTTATAGATTTCTACAAATACTGATATTTTGTGTAAAATGGGGTATTAAAAGATTCAATGACTTTGCCATCAGGCAAAAGTCATTGAGGCATTATATACATTATATACTGCCTTAATGTTGTTGTGGCTATAGATGCTGGTGGGAAACGAAGTGGCTAAGGTATAAAAAGCACAGAAATGCTTTTTCCACTCCCCAAAAATGGATTCGGGTACCACAAATCAATTCTGCTCCAGTGGGATTTTCTGTCGTGGGAAGATGATGTTTGGAAGGAGACAACACATGCGGCAAACATGAACAGCTATGCTCCTCAGAGACCCTCGTGTCAGTGTGGGAATGGTTTAATACTACCATGCAGAGAGCTACAAAAAGTTTGGCATTGCACACCAGGGACAGGTTGGCAGCAATACCTGCACAGCCCACAAATCTTGTGTTACTGCTAATTCCTCCAGGCTGATGAGAGTCCAAACACTAATATCAAAAATCTGTGTGATTTGCTTTAATTTTAGATGGCGGGACATGTGACTTGTTAGAACATACTGAGAAAGACAATGCTAGTATTAAGACCCTCAGTCTCTTAGATGAAATGTAATATTATTATTTATTTAAATTATTAAAATCGGGGGTGGAGGTGGGGGGGCTGGGATCATACCATTATGCAAAAGATTTAAGGGGGGCAGATGTTCCCAAGACAACAAGTGTAGTGGTACAAGCCAAGTACACAGAGAGACGGCGAGCTGGATTTAAATGCAAGCGTGTTGGGAAAAAGTGAAGAAAGGAGCTGAAATGTAAAATGAGCAGCATCTGGCTGCATTTCAATGATAGTGGAGACTGTCTGAAGTGATATCCACTTTTATATTCAGCCATTTTCCATGGTGGAGGATAAAAGGTTTCAAACATATCCAGGCCTTAAACCTCATATGTGTTCTCCTAGGTTACAGTTCAGTATTGAATATTACACAAAATAAACTACATACAAAGTGTCTTTGAATATCTGCATGTAGCACAGAGCCATGGCTCAGTGTCTAAATGAGTCTCATAGGCCAGAATGTGCTTGAAGTTATTTATAACTCTTAACTTGTTTAAACTGCTGCTCACCACAAACAAGCACAAGCAGAAACTTTGGCCTTTTAATCGTTTTTTTCGTTTGTTTGTTTGTTTTCTTAGGTCTTACAGTTTTTCCTACTGATAAAATCTTCTCATATGGCCATTCATACTACACAAAATAATTAGGCATTAAAAATTTAAATGACAGAAAAGTTTCTGTTTTTCCACTTTCTATAGAAATTTCTGGTTTTTACGATTACAAAAAAACCTGAACCGTCTGGGCAATCAGCTGCAAGACTTTTTGCCGTAATCTTCCACATCTATTACTGACAGTTTAAGTCCAAAGATGCGAGCCTACAGATTTCTTTCCTTGTCACAGCAGCTTTTTCTTCATCATGTAGAAAAACAGTTAAATAAGTAACTTCTTTATACTGACAGAATGGGAAGTTTCACTGGTCTGGTCAAAGGTCAAAGTGAGCTGTACGTTGCCCGCCATGTAAAATGAGTTTGGCACCCCTGACATAGACCATGTCAGGCAGGTGTTATTATTTAACACAGACAAACGTTAGCTGGAAAATGTACCTTTAATTATCAACAACATCTCTAAGGCAAGTCATTGCTTTCTTTACTGCCATTTTTTAAGTG